TCGCTGGTCGGGTGTGAGGGGGGCAGCATTGTCCTGGGCCTGTTTCGCTCACTCCCACCTGCCCTTCAACCACACAAGTAGTACTCGAGTCTCTGTATGGGCAGGGGCCGCCATCGACCATCATCGGGAACCGCAGCCAGGTGCACGAAACTCGCGAGGTGCGCCGCGCGTGCCTGGGCACCCGCACCGTTCCAGTGAAATGACAAAGCATAGCGATCGCGGGGCGTCCGCGCATGATCGTTGCTGGAAGGTGTACGTAGCATTGGTTCTTGACAGGGATGATGGGCCTGCGAGCAGCAGGCAATATGCCGGCACCCCCTCGTCCCTGTCACGAGACTATTCAACGTCATCGTTTGGTGCCCGCACATGATCCAGATTTTGCCTTTCTGAATGGGATGGTGGGGAGGTGTCGTCATGGTTCTGGGCTCGCCCCCGGTCAGGTGGGGGAAGGGGTATATATTAATCAGGAACGGTGGTGAATTTTTCCCGAACAGGGGAAGGGGGGGCTTGAAAGAGGGAGGCGACAAGTTCGCTACCGCCTCCGCCCAGAGGGCTGCTGGGAGAGCTAGCCACAGTTTCAATCAGTTCCAGTTCCGATGACTAGCTGGAGGTAGCGACAGTAAGAATCGAAGTGCATTGGTTCCCTGTAGAGCCCCTCAGGGGGTTGGAAATACACTTGGTAATGTTTATTGTTTGGAGTGCCGTGCTGTCTCCCCCTCTCGCATAATTTCTCCTGGTCCTCCTCCTCACCCCACTCCCCATCCCACTCCTCCTCCCCCTCCTTCTCCTCCTCCTCCTCCGCCTCCGCCTCCTCCTCCTCCTCCTCCTCATCTCCTCCTCCTCCTCCTCCTTCTCCTCCTCCTTCCCCTCCTCCTCTCTGCTCCTTCTGCTCCTCCCGCCTTGTTCTTTGTGTGCCATTATGTTTCTCTGTACTTCTCCCGCTCCTCCTCCCCCCAGCTCACTGCTCCCTGCTGCGTCCTTCTCCCTTTTATGCCTCATCCTCTGTCCTTCCTCCCCTCTGCTCCGCAATGATTCCTGTTCAGATTCCTCCTCCTCCTCCTCCCTCCTCCTCCTCCTCCTCCTCCTCCTCCTCCTCCTCCTCCTCCTCCTCCTCCTCCTCCTCCTCCTCCTCCTTGATTTCGGTCCCCGAGGCTGGGACCCCCCAGGCGGCGCGCCCATTTGGGGGGCCGGCTAGTATGGGGCAGCGCGGGTGGCGCCCGGCAGGCCACCCGCGTCTCTAAACGAGGCCACGCTGCGTGAGCAGCGCGTAGAGCTCATCGCTGTTGCCAAATCCCCAACTGGGGAACCACTGCGATATTCTATTACATTCTCCTGCTCGCGCCGCCTCCCCCCCTCGCTCGTCGCTCCGCCTTTCCTCCTTCTTCCACTCCACTCCGTCCAGGGGGTTGGCTGCTCCGCGGCCCCCGAATCGCCGAGGAGGAGGAGGAGGAGGGGGAGGATGAGGATGAGGAGGAGGAGGAGGAGGAGGAGGAGGAGGAGGAGGAGGAGGAGGAGGAGGAGGAGGAGGAGGAGGAGGAGGAGAGGAGAGAGGAGGAGAGGAGAGAAGGAGGAGAGAGAGAGGAGGAGAGGAGAGAAGGAGGAGATGAGGGGGGGGGGGGGGGATGATGAGAAATAGGATTACGCCGACGAGGAGGAGGAGGAGGAGAAGGAGGAGGAGGAGGAGGAGGAGGAGGAGGAGGAGGGCAACCCGGGGGCGGTCCCCCACGTTGCTGTCCGATCTGGCCTCCCCTGGCCGCCCCGCGCGGTGCCTCCAGGAAGCCCCTCGGGGGGGCAGAGCCTCGTCGGTCTCCCGCGTTGCTATGCGATTTGGCCTCCCCTTCGGCTGCACGCAAGAGTGGCCCCTCGCATGAGTGACCTTTGGGCCCACCGGGGTCCCCCCATCGCCGAACACGATGCGATTGCAGCGTCGTCCTGCGCACGATGTGGTTGGCCCCCCCCCACGGTTCCCAAAAAGCCGCGCACCGAAGGTCACTCTCACCCAGGGTCACGCCTGCGTGTAGCCGAGATTTGGCCTCCCCTGGCCGTGCCGCTGGGCTCCAGAGAAGGTGAGCGCGGAGCCTCGAAAGGATGACGGTGTCGAGGGTGGGAGCAGGGCTCGTCTCGACGCCTTTGGTTCGATGAAAGTCGACTTCGGTGGCTTCCGATTCGTTTCTACGTCGGATTCCGAGGCCTCCTGGGCTGGCGATTTCCAATTTCCACCGATCCGACTTCTGTCGACTCGGCTGCCGATCTCCGCCGATCCGATTCATTCGGATCTCCGATCCGACTGGTCGATTCGATTCTGGCTCTCCTGTGGGAGCTTTCTTTGACCCGTCGGGGGGCGGCTCCCCATGCTGCTGTGCGATTTGGCGGGGCCCGCCCCGATGGCACTGCGCGACACCACCTCTCCTCGCGGTGCCGCCAGGCTCCCTAAGAAGCCCCGCGCGGGGACCGAGAACCAAAGACAGGCCCGTTGCTGGGAGCCCTTCCCTCTGACCGGCCCCGGGGCGGTCCCACGTGTCCCCTGCGGTCCCGGCCTCCGCTGGCCGCCCCACCGGGCCCTCAGGAAAGCTCGCCCCGAGCCCAGCGGGCGTGGCAGCGTCGAGGAGGGGAGCGCTTCCCTGTGACCCGCCGAGGGGGCGGTCCCCGACGTCGCCGTGCGACTCGGCCTGCCCTGGCCGTCCTGCCTGGCACTCGTTGAGAACCCCAGCGCGGGTCTCGAACTGTGAAGACAGCTTGAGGACAGGAGCTTTTCCGTGGAGAGCGCGGGCGAGGTGAGCGATAACGAGTGCTGACAGAATCGTGCTTGAGGCTTTTTGTTCGAGGATTTGATCGGCCTTTGGCCCCTCGGAGTTATTCTTCGGGTCCGTGGCCACACGGAGCCATCTTGGGGCGGTGTCGCTACTCGAGGGCAACTTGGAAGGCACATTGAGCCATCTCGGATTATATTTCGCCATCTAAGACCAGGCCATCCTGGGGCCATCTTGGCATCTTGGGCCTCTCGGGCCCCAGAGGCCAACAAGAGGCCCCCAAGGGGCTTCCAATTGGCCCCCCGAGAGACCCCCAAGATGCTCCCAAGAGGCCCCAAGGAGGCTTGACTAGGCAGGGGGGAGTCTTCTGGCACAGGGGTAGGAATCCCTTGGTCAGAGGGGGAAGAACGGGGTATCGATCTACATCGCTCACACCGTAAGCCCTTGGGGTTTGGGTGACTTGACAGGACGGTAATGGATACGAGTCATCGGAGAGGGGAGAGGAAGGGGGAAGCGATGGGCTGGTGGTATCTTTTCGAGCCTCGCCCAGCTCTGACGTCCACGGATCCGCTGTGCTACCCCGATTTCAAGCTCTGGAAGTGCATTCCTGACGACCGTGGGGGAGCTTGTCCGCATGGTGGCCAATGCCGGCCTTTCTCTTCTACCATCACAAAACCAGGTATGGAGCCTGTTCATCTATGCGCTGGGCCTGCTGATTCTATCATAGACCGCTTCTACGACGTGATCGCAAACGCAAAGGAATACGTGGACATTGTCAGTCTTGAGATGCCGGACGGGAGATTTCTTGCTGCCATCCGGAACGCCATCACATATCTACAGAATGCTCGTCTTCAAGATCCGTCTTTGCCCGTGGTTCAAGTGAGGTTTCTGTTTGGACATTTACTTGGAGAGTCGTTGCTAGACTTGCCTATACCTGCGCTCGCAGCAATAAGCAATCAACGATCGACAACGTCGTTGGACATCATTCTGCGCGACATCTTACCAGACTTTGATCACTTTGTCCGAAACAGGTCGTCAATCATACGCGTAGTGGCTGGTACGCTCAGATGGTGGCCTGACTCGTGGAACCATGTCAAGATTGTAGCAGCAGACGGAAAGCGAATGATCCAGGGGGGAATCAATTTTTGGACTCGCGATTACCTAGATCACGATCCTGTTTTCGATCTGTCCATGGTTCTTTCAGGCCATGTGGTAGTTGGTGCACATTATTTTGTCGATTCGTTATGGGATTCCATCTGCGACGGCATTGCGCACCCAAACGATCTCGGATTCGCAGGTGCTTTCAGCTACTTTCCATATTCGGTGAATAAGCCGATCAAAACCTTTGAACGGGAAAAGACTGAAGACGGATGGTTCACTGGTGGGAGAAAAGACTTGGAGGTACTTCCAGCTCAGGCGATGTCGACCTGGGAAAGGTTGGAAGCCCCGACGAAGAGCAAGACTGTCAAACACAAGGGTCTTAGTACGATTTCTGTTGGCCGCATGGGAAGCTTGGGGTCAAATTCTGCTGACGTCGCACTCACTGCTCTTCTCCAGTCAGCGGAGAAGAACATTAAGATCTCTGCGCAAGACTTTGGGCCAGCTGTATCGTTGCTCGGCTGGCGTTACGACCACATCGACGCAATCTGTTATGCCTTGGCCAATGGAGCTCATGTGCAGGTGATGCTGAGCAAGCCTGACTTTGTACCAGCCAAAACGAGTGCATGGCAAACCTTTCCGATTGCGCTGTCGCGCATACGCGACCGCGCCAGGGGAAGGTAAGCAGCAACGCTCAGATTGGCACGGCCGTTGCGTGGCGGTGCATGGTTGTCGCGATTCTTCTTGGGGGCCTCTCCAGGGCCTTATGGAGGCCCTTTCGAGGCGCCCTGGGGGTTCTGGTGGCCGGTTGCAGGTTTTGAAGTACAGGGTGAGCTGTTTCTGGACGCACGTGCCTCGTGCAGAAAAAGAATGAGTGTGCTTCCTTGCGTCGGCTTCGTGTGGGGTGGGGGGCCGAGTCAATGTTTTCTGTCCGTGGGGCAGCGATACCTGCACAGGGAGTGGTGCACGCCTCCCGCTGCAAACGCGGTGTTGGATATCAGAGTTGGGTCGTCAATATTGAAGGACTCCTACGACTCGAAGGGGGTCTCAGAGTTGAAGAGCACCATGCACGCCTATGGTATGGGATACACGAAGGACGATATCATAGAGCAGTTTACGTTGCGCCTTGACCATATTGGAGCCGACGCCGAAACTATCAACAACTTAGATGTGTACTACTTGCTGGAAGGTTTGGTTCCAGGAGGTTGGGGAAATCATGCGAAGATGATTATTGTGGACGACAAGGTATTCGCGATTGGTTCTCAAAATTTGTACGCGTGCAACCTGCAAGAGTATAGCGTCATTGTCGACGATGCCAGTGCAACAAAGCAGCTCCTCGATTCGTATTGGTGGCCTTTGTGGGGTCGATCAAAGACACTGCCAACGCACGCGCAAGTTGGAAACACAACGAGTCAGGGAAACTCTTCTGGCGCCTCAGTGCAACGCCTGTATGGTCTGTGTAGAGACGGGCGGCAAATACATCGGACCAGCGGCGACAATTGTATGAAGTCTTACACGGACGACGTGGACATAGGCTGCGGCCTTATCTCAGAGGAGTTCTGCTATAACCATGACCCGACGGCGCGGTGCTGCTGCAAAGAGGGTGGGGTCAAGGTCGAATATACTTGGACATTCGGGAAACACAAGACGGCTACAAGCTGGTGTTGAGGTCACCCTTCTGAGTGGCCTGCCCGTTTCTCGAGGCGCACCTTTTGCAGTCCAATCGCAGAAGTAAGTAACGTTGCCGCGCGAATCCGGCACAGTGGCTGGGGCCTGGAGAAGGGGGGGCTGGGTGGAGGGGGAGCGAGGGCGGTCATGCTTTGTACTTGCAGGTTTTTTTTGCTTTTACAATTTCGCGTGGAGGACAAAAATGCAGGGCTCGGTTAACACAAACAACGCATGTTCGGATCGCTGCGCCGAGGCGACGTGACTCGTCGCATCGCTCGGAGCGAAATTATTCGCGCTTCGCGTATCCCCACCAGCCCATTCGAAAACCTTGCCCATGAGAGTTGACGGGAAAAAGGGACGAAGAGACGCATGTAGTGAAACAAAGCGGGCAACCAGGTTGAACACAGAGATCTTTGGGAGCACGGGGGTGGCCTTGGAGGGCCTCTTCGGGCAATCCTTGGGGTGGGGGCGAGAGGAGGAGCTGGAGGATGAGCTGGAGGAGGATGAGGAGGATTACTAAGCTCGATATGGGCTTTAAGGGTACCTAAACACATCTTTGAGGATTATGCGGCCGTCGGAGAAATACTGGTGCCTGCGAACTTGCAGAAAAGTCGGAATCCAGTATTTGGCCAAGAGCAGGACCCATCCTCAACGTCGGAGGCATTGCAGAAAACTATCAACCAGTGGCTGGCGCTACGGCCCCTAGCCACCTTCTGCTTGCAAGCGGTCGTGAGGGAACCGGTCCTGGTGATCCCTGTGATAGGTTTCGGCTGTACCTCGGGAAGTACATCATTGGGCATTTCCTTGGGTACACCATTGGGTACTTCCTCTGGTACGTCCTTGGGTACCTTCTTGGGTACCTCCTTGGGTACCTCCTCGGGTACCTCCTATGGTACCTCCTATCGTACCTCACTGGTACCTCCTCGGTTACCTCCTCGGGCACCTTCTCGGGTGTCTCCTTGGTCACCTGCAGGCCGGTCAATCGCGGCGGCACTGCGTTGCCCCCAAGGCCCTGCCCTAGCATTGGGCAAGCCCCGCAGCCTCCCACCTTCGAGCGGCCTGCCGGAGGCGGGACAGGCCGCCAGAGCGGTCGGGCGGGCTAGGCGGGCTCGGCCTGCGCAGGAGCCCGCTGGCAAGCCGCGGATTCCAGCGCGGCCCAGGGGGAGAGAGGGAGGGTGGCGGGAGGAAGCAGAGGGGGGTGGCAGGAGGAGGAGGAGGAGGAGGAGGAGGAGGAGGAGGAGGAGCAGGAGGAGGAGGAGGAGGAGGAGGAGGAGGAGTTGCAGGGCGCCGAGCTCCGAGCCCCCCCCCCCGCCATATACGTTTTGGGAAGCAGCGAGGGCGGGCGAGCGATGGGGGACCCAAGCGGCGAGGCGCGCGCGCGGGGGTGGTGCAAGATGGAACGCCGCGAAGGGAGAGTCGGGGCTGGACAGAACCCCCAACAGTGACACGTCGATTAGTGAATTGTCCATTTTCGGTTCTCGAGAGGGCGCCGTGGCCGTTATTTTCCAGGTTTGCGCCCTCCAGGTTTAGGCCTCAGGTCGTTTTCACTAAACCACGTTTTACTAAAGGGGGGTCTGTCCATCCCCGAGAGAGGGGTGGTCCGAACGCACTCCGCCGATCAGCCCTAGGGCCGGGGGGGGAGGGGGGCGCAGCGCGCCGCCACTTTCACGTCCGAGCGGGCGGGCTAATCGGGGCTGTCAAATGCCCTTCCCTTGTCGGCCACGAGGCCAGGAGAAGGCGGCGTCGCAGCGTCGCTCCTATGCCAGGGCGAGGGGAGGAATGGGGAGGGGGGGGAGGGAGGAGGCAGGCATGCTGCGGGCGGGAGTGCGCGGGAGGTGGGGCAGCAGGTGTGAAGAATGCAACCTTTTGCCAAGGGGGGACAGCCCTAACGACCCCCTGACCTGTGGGGCAGCGCCCCTGGTTCGGGCGCCTCGGCGGCGCACCTCGGGGTGGTGATCCCACGTGGGGCCAAGAGGGAAAAGCCCGAACGACCCCCCCTGACCTGTGGGGCAGCGCCCCTGGTCCAGGCGCCTCCGCGGTGCACCTTCTCAACAAGATAGGGGCCCTCGGAGACTTGGGGCGGGGGGATCCCGCCCGAATGGATGGTCTCCTTAGGGCCACGACGGAACAGCCCGAACGACCCCCCCTTGACCTGAGGGGCAGCGCCCCTGGTCCAGGCGCCTCCGCGGCACGGCGCACCTCTGCACAGGAAAGGGGCCCTCGCAGGCCCAGGAAAGGAGGAGAAGGAGGAGGAGGCGGACGAGGAGGAGGAGGAGGAGGAGGAGGAGGAGGAGGAGGCGGAAGAGGAGGAGGAGGAAGAGGAGGAGGAAGACGACGACGACGACCACGACCACGACGACAAGGAAGAGAAGGACGGAGAAAAGGAAGAGGAAATCGATGAGGGCAAGGACGAGGACGAGGACGAGGACGAGGATGAAGAGGAGGGGGAGGAGGAGGAGGAAGAGGAGGAGGAGGACAACGAGGACAAGGCGAGAGCCTTCAACATCGCCTCGTGGGGTCCTCTTGGGCCCTCTTGAGGTTCATTTGGAGGGTCTTGGGGCCCTCTTGGAGCCCTCTTGGGGGTCCTTTTGGAGCCCTGGAGGGACTCCTGGGGTCATCTTGGAAGCCATCGATCAAAAGGGGGGGTTCCTCGATTTGCCTTGCCCCCCTGGGACCATCAACATCGCCTCTTGGTGTCCTCTTGAGCTGCTCTTGGGCCACTCTTGGGCGCTCGTGGGGCCGTCTGGGGGGCCTCTTGGGCACCTCTTGGGCCTCTTTTGGGCCATCTTGGGGCCATCTTGATGCATCACAAGCGCATCGGAAGCGAATCAGGGAGACGGTACACATCATTGATGTCCTAATTATAGGTATTGGAGGATCGTGGCGTTTTCGGGGAGGCTGATGGGGGCTCCGAGAGCACTTGGAATTGATTTGTGGCACTCCTCGGGTCTCTTGGAGGTATGTCGGAAGCTGTCTTGAACCATCGTCGGCTATCTTGAGCCATCTTGTAGACCCTCTTGGAGCCATCTTGGGCCATCTTGGACGCTCTAACCGATCGCGGTCAGCCCCGAAAACCTCACGGTGGGGGGAGGCAAGCCTCCTGGAAGGGAAGAGGCTTCTGCATGTGGAAATCAAGAACTCGCTGGATCACCTTAGCCCAAAGGGCTGGTGGGATTAACCAGATAAGAGGGGCCCGACATAGGCGCGCACGCACACACACACATCCATCCAGGCCTTCCAAATGAGGTTCGAGTAGATGGGGTCGATATGGCCATGCGGCTCGATGTGGAGCCCGACTCTCCACGCCGACCGCGCCGATGTGTACCCGACGTCGCCGACGCATCGGTGATGCATCGGCGATGCGGCGCGATCCTCCGACCCCACCTACGGTCAGGAACTTTTGGATAGCTTGTCGCTCCGTCGGTTCTGGCCCACCAGGCTTCGGCGCGACACGCTATCCACGTCGCGGTCCACAAGGGTCAACGTCCTGAGCTTTTCCTGAGCCTCCCGCCCCGTGGAGCGGAGCGACATGCTATCCGCTCGCAGGGCACAGCGTGTCGCCAGGGCCGCCGCCGCGACATGCTAAGCAAAAGTCCCTGAACGTATCCCCCATACTCACTGGGCCAGTGCATCTCGGCTCCACCAGCCCACCCTCTCGGGTGGCCACAGGCCCCGCGAGACCCCAAGGGGCAGGCATATATCCCCATGTAGGCAGGTAGGTCGGCCAGAGACGCCCAGGCCACGCCAGTTGGGCTGGGGATCGGTTGAACGATGCTCATCCGCGGTCGGCCTCGCTTGAGCAGTCTGCCTTCCGGAGCGACCACGCCGGTGCGCGAGTGGGTGCAGAACCCGCTCCGATGCCATCTGGCCGGCGCGCACGCAACGGGTCGGACGGAAGGGAAGGTCATCAAGGGCAGCGTTCGTGGGGGGGGATAGGCTCAGGTGCGTACGCATCGACCCCCAATCGCCCATCCGTTTATCGACGCTGGGGGCCTTATGGCCCACCCGGCCCAGCAGCGTGCGGATTCGCTGCCGGGGCCGCATCGCCGATCTGTCGGCGATGTTTCGCCGATTCCAGGTCGATGTTCCCCCCCCCCCCTCTGACCCAGTCCCCCCCCTCTTCCGAACGTTGCCCCTCAGCTCCGGACCCCGCCTGTCCCCTTCGCGGCTGGCCTCGCCTCGGCAGCCTGCTTTTCCCTGGCGGCTGCGTCGAGGCGCGCGGTGGTGCAGGCCCCACTCCGATGCCTCCCTGTGGGTGGCGGCGCCCACACGGCGCGGCCTCCGAGGAGGCGGCGAGGCTTCCGAGGAGGCAGGGGGGCTTCCCTCAGAAGCCCGCCCAGCTGCTAAGCATCCTTCTTCGAAGCTTCCAGGGCTCTCTCAGCAGCCCCTCCGCCTGCCAAGGAGCTCCTTTTCCGCCTTCTCAGATGGCCGCCCCCATCGCGCCGGCCCCTCTGTTGACGCTGACAAATCTGGTCGGCCCGTGATGGTCGTTTCGGCCGGCTTGGGAGGAAGGGAAAAGTCGGGAGGGGGGTGCAGAGCTGCTGCGTGCGGCCGGGAATCGGCCCCGCCGCCGTGCCCGCTCCTCGATGCATGGCCTCTCCTGGCGCCGGGGAAGCCAGCTGCGCGGGCTCATTTGCAGGCCAGCCCGTCACTACCCGCCCCTCCCTTTCTTTGCTGCCTCGATGCGCCCGTTTTGATACGCAACACTTACCGTGATCGAAACATGCGCGTCCATGCGTTGCGTGTCGACTCAGCGCGTGGGCCCACGTTTTGGCGAACGTATCGCGTCAGACCTGCGTGTTCAGGCTACGTGCTGCGCTCCGTATCGATACGCTACGTGTCGCGTGTTGCGCATCGGGGCAGCCAAGCTGCCCGCTACTCCCGCCGTCGCCCGACCAGAAGCCCGGATGCCTGGTGCCACCTCCGCCCGTGCCAGCACAGCCTGCTCGCGGGGGGCGAGGCGGGACCCTGCCGAGCAACGCCCGGCCTGCAGCAGAAAGGGGACGCGCCTCCTTGCCATCGACGCCTTCGCCTGGCTCTCGCAACACGCCCCCATCCATCCTGCCTCCTGCCCCCTCTCGTAACTGCAGCCTGCTCACTCCCAATCCTGCCCCCTTCCCTGCCCCTCCCCCCCCATCGGCCGCCATCTTCCCTCACTCCTCCGGCCTCCCCAATCTCGGCTCGTTTCTTTATCCTCGTTCCTCCTATGTCCTCTGCCCTGTTAACTAGTTACCTCCTTCCTTCTCCTTCCCCACTCGTCCCGCTGCACTCCTCCGACTGTCGCTTCAGAATCCCCTCCCTCGCATCCTCCTTTCCCTCCCTCTTTAGCCTGCCTTCCCCTTCCCCTCTCCTCTCTCTGCAAGTGTGCACTATGGATGCGGCCGTCCTCTCTTCCGAGATGACGTTACACAGTTTGCCCGCGTGTTTTGGCATACATGTTGGCTGCAGACACTACTGTTTCCATTCGGAACCTCTCTGGCCGCTTCGGAGGGCGCTCTCGCTTGGGCGATTGCCAGAGTTGCGATGCTTCTATCTCCGACTACTGATTCTGTATATTGGTCTCCACTCACCCTGGTGGCGTCCAACTTTCGCCCGTACACTGAATGTGGTTCTCACGCTTGAGAACCCATTGCTGCTTCAAATGTTTTGTCCCACTCGCGCATTCTTTGGCCGTTCCGAGTTGCGCTCTGTCTTCGTCGCTTGCCACAGTCGCGATCCTTCTAGAACCATTCTTTCTGAATGCTACTGTCCACTCTCCCCGACGACGTCCCACCGCTCACCCGCCTGCTCTCCGCGTGCTTGTTCTGGTCCCCCTGCGTTTGATTTTCAAGCTCAGGATTGCAGAGGCTGCTCTCCCATATGCGCTGTTCCACGTGATTGGGCTGTTCTGAAGAGCGTTCTCGCTTCGGCGCCTGCCGCACTCCCAACATCCCGCGCAACGAGTCATGATGAGTGCAATTGCCCCTTCTCCTACCACGCCGTCCAATCGGTAATCCACCCCTTCACGTACGGTGCCTGTACAACCGATGTTTGTAAAGGTTTGTAACTTGCGTGCTCCACTCGGAAGTTGTCGGGACACTCTGCGGGACGCTCTCGCTCCAGCGCCTGCCACACATCCGCGCTCTCCTTCTCACAGCGATTTTTTGATCATGGCCGCCCCTTCGTCTCAGGCTTAGTCCAGGCCCATCCGGCCCAGTAGCCCTTGAATCGGGCTGTATCGCCGCCTAAGCGCTTTAACAAAAACCTCCCAGGAGTTTGGGGAAACTTAAAGATACCGATACCGCTGCTCCCCGGACCTCTCCCGGGGTGCGTTCTGACCAGAATTTCGAGGCGAATCCAGCGGTGGCGACGAGGGCCTCCCAGGAGGCCCAGAAAGGGGGAAATGGGCGAAGGGTAGAGGTACGGGCACCCTTTCCTCATCTGGGAGTTGCCTCCCAGTCTCCCCCCTCCCCTCCTCCTCTCGATTGGATGTGTGCGTCCGGCGGAGGCGCCTCGCCCCGAGGGCGGGACCGCGGGGGGACGCGCCGCGCCCAATGCAGAGCCGGCGACAGCAGGGCCACACAGCCTGACACAGTCCAGAACCGGAAGTTGTGGCCTCCTCCTGCTCCTCGTCCTCCTCCTCCTCGTCCTCCTCCTCCTCCTCCTCTTCCTCCTCTTCCTCCTCCTCCTGCTCCTCCTCCTCCTCCTCCTCCGCCTCCTCCTCCGCCCGGTCCCCGGTCCTCCTCCTTGTCGGACCGGGCGAGGACGAGGATAAAACCGTTTTAGAGCGTTCCTCGACTAGACGTAAGAGTGACCTTTCGCTGGAGTTGCCTTTGGTGCGGGCACAGGTGGGTCCCCACATGGCTGAAAACGAAGCGGCAGCCGCAGCTTGCGCGCCCAGGTTTGGCCTCCCCGCGGCCCCCACAAAGCCGCGCACCCAAGGTCACTCTTACCCAGGGTCACTCTTGCGTGTAGCCGAAAAAACCGTTCCAGAGCGTTCCAGAAAGCTCTCAGAGCGTCCTCGAACGCTCTGAGAAGGCCGCGGCGCCCGAGACATCCTCCGGAGCCGCCGGAGCTCAGAGGTTCCCGATGTTATCCCCGCCCGAATTTGTCATCGCCCTGACTTCGTCCTAAGATGTCTCGGAGGTGGATAGACCTCCTACCCTGACACGTCGATTAAGGAATTGGCCGTTTTCGGTTCGCGAGAGGGAGTCGCGGCCGTCATTTTTGCGGGTCCAGGTCCGTCGGTTTCGGTCCCAGGCCGTTTTCACTAAGGGGAGGTCTGCTAAAGGGAGGTTTGTCCAGCGCCGAATGTCGATGATCCTCAGGACTCGCTCAACGTGTGTTTCCCTTCTTCGGCCCGCGTCGGCCCTCGGTCAGCGCGCGACGCCGCCGGCCGGCTGCTCCCTCGGGCCGGCTGCTCCCCGCCGGGACCTGGGGCGCCCGCGCCGCGGGGCGCCTCCGCTCGCTATCGGGAGCCCACCCCTGGCCGCCTCGGGAGCCTTGGCCAGTTGGCAGGCAGGTCGCTGGCGTCCCGACAGCATTGAGGCGGCGGGCTTGAAGCCGTTTCGGCTTTCGGGGGCTCTCGCTGGGCCTCGAGGGCGTCCAGAAAACATCCAGGACGAAAAAAACAGGCCCTGGGGAGGTGGTCCAGACTTCTAGGGCCGGCGTATCGAAAAAATTAGAACAGCCAGATGTTTGCGTACTTGCCTACCTACCTACCTACCGACCTACCTACCTGCCTACCGGCCTACCGGCCTACCGACCTACCGGCCTACCTACCTACCTACCTACCTACTTAGCCAGGTCAGTCGTTGGCAATGCTGGTGCCTTGATCGCCAGCGTCGCCAGCGTTGGCGCACCGGCGACGCCGGCGAAGGAGTTCAAGGTTGAGTTCTGCGACGCGGTAGCGCCGATGGACACGAAAACGCCACCAGACCCGGCCGAATTCAACCTTGAACGGTCGGGGCCGCGATCGATTCAAGTCAGGAGGGGAAAAAACACACAGACACAATTAATCGGCGATTCCCAGAAAATATGGGAAAATATGGGAAGTGGGGGGGAAGACAGAAACCCAGAAAATATGGGAAAATAGGGGGGATATTTTTATTTGTGTGTATTTATTTGTGTGTCCTAATTTCCCTTTATCAAGGTTGAACGCTCGACGACGTGTCAAAAACCATTGCGCGCGCCGACACCGCACGAGCCCACCTACAGGCGTCAGCCTCGCTCCTCCCCCAGCAGATCCACCTCGCTCTTCCTTGAACCCAGGGCCGGGCGAGCCTCCATTGGCGGGGGAGCGGGGCGGTCGAAGGAGGAGCACCCCGCTCTTAACTCTCGGGGCGAGCGCCTACAGCAACAGCGCGCACACTGCTACAACGCCGAGTCCAGAGGCGAGGAGTGACGTCCAGACGACCAGAGGAAGGGGGGATGAGGAGGAGGAGGAGGAGGAGGAGGAGGAGGAGGAGGAGGAGGAGGAGGAGGAGGAGAGAGGGAGGGAGTCGGAAAGAAGTCGACCTGTCTAACCATTCGTTCCCTTCCTGACCGCCCTCTCTCCCCCACTTCCCTTCCCCCCCTCGCCCCGCTGCGCGAGTTCGCTACCGACTTCGTGCACATCCTCTGAGGGCCGAGGCCCCGACCACCACTCCCCGCCGGGGACGCGCTCCGGCGCGACAGCGGCGGCCGCCCCGTTGCGGCGGTGGAGCGCCGTTTGCGGCTACAGCCGCGACTCGGAGCCCAAGTCGTGCAAGAGTCTGCTCCCTCGCTGGCCCGTCGTACCCCGCTCTGGCCTCCGTGTGTGCGTTCGGTTCATCGCTCCCTGCCTCCTCCCTCCTCCCCAGCCATGCTCCCGTCCTTCCCTGCTAACCGGCCTCGCACTCCTCCCTACCCGCAAGGTGGGTAAGCCCCAGGTGTCTGACAAGACCCATTCCCATGCTCCCTCTCGAAGCCCTTTACCCTCCCCCGTGGCTCATCCCCTTCCGCCAGAGCTGGAGGATCGGGGAGAAGAAAGAGGATCGAGGAGGAGGAGGAAGAGGAACAACAACAATTTTGATAATAATACGAAGAAGAAAAATCCGAATAATCCGAATAATAAGAAGACGAAGAGGATTAATACTAAGAAGAAGAAGAAGAAGAAGAAGAAGAGCGGCCTCGGGGAGCAAGGTCGGGCAGAAACACACGAGGGAATTCGGAATCCCCCTTGACTCCCGAAGCCAATCACGTTGCCATCCCTTCGTATGGCGGAAGGCTGGCGGAAGAATACGGATGTGACAAATCTTCATGTGAAGGCGCCCCGCCGTTGCCCGATCGGTCGGCATTTCCACTGGGGGAGGAGCGGGGCCCCGGCAGCCCTCCCCCCCACTGGCCCTCCGATGCGTGGTCGAGGGCCTTCTCGGCCGTTTCCTTTGGTCTGGGCCTTTGTTTTGTCGTTCATTCCGTGTTTAGTGGTCGTGTTGTTTCGTTGTTCGTTGTTGTCTTCATCGCCTCGTTTCACGTGTCGTTTTGT